CAAGCAACTTTTGAGTAACATTTCACGCGCGTGTCCCAACGCACTCGCTTTTATCGCGAGCAAGCGTTCTCTTTGTGCTCCGCTTTATTGAGGGTAAAGGCTGTGCAGGGTGATTTAATGGACTTGGCAGTGGCGAAGCGTCTATAATTAGATCTATGATCAAATAATCACTGCTTCCCTTCCTAATTTTGAAACATTGTCGCTTTCAAGTTCACCCATAAACGTAAACGTTTTAAAATTAAATGTAAAAAGACGTCCACAATCACCCATGAACAGTTTGCCTAACATTCAAAAAGGGGGTTTCATTGCCACAGAAATATCCTGAATAATCCTGTTCACCCCTTTCGGGCCACTCCATAAGTAGTCACAAGCTTTGATTAAAGTAAGCTTTAAAGTGAGGCTGGAAGAGTACTAAAAGAATTGAAGGGAACATGTGTACTGTAACAGCACTCAAAACTGTTTCATTGCCATATGCCCGTATCATCCCTTTCGGGCCACTGTCATAAGCAGTCGCACTGATTATGTAAGCGAAATATACAGTGGGTGCCGCATTCAACGAGGTCACATTCAAATCTAAGATCATCAAACGATAATACGTACCCTACTTGTGACACCTGTAAAATCATACAAATCGCACGGAGAGATATCTTTCTCATATCTTGGTCCATTTATGTGGAACAGATTACCCATGGAACTAAGACAAATAAAAACACTTGATAGCTTCAAAAGACATCTTAAACATTTTCTGTTCCTACTGGCCTATCCTTCATAAGCTTTTAACGTTATTTTTCATTATAGTTGTTCTGTTCCTATATCTGGATGAAAATAGTCTCTCTCTCTCTCTCTCTCTCTCTCTCTCTCTCTCTCTCTCTCTCTCTCTCTCTCTCTCTCTCTCTCTGTGTGTGTGTGTGCGCGCGCGCATAAATATAATATTGCATGAGAAAGAAGTAGTAAGAAAGGTTTTGAAAATGGGTATTCCAATGTAAAGCGCATTAAGCTACTTATTTTGGAAATGCGCTATATAAATGTGTTATATATATATATATATATATATATATATATATATATATATATATATATATATATATATATATATAATATATTTACTATTATTATTATTATTATTATTATTATTATTATTAACGAGATGTCGGCTCCAACGAGGCAATCCTTAATCCCCGATTTTTTCCTCTATATCTCTTTGTAATTGTACGTCGACTCCAACGAGGTTGCAAACAGACCGTAAGTCGCTTTCAACGAGGTCGTGATAACCAAATAAAAGCAATTAGCGGCCCCAAAAGCGAAGAATTCTTCTCCCTTTTCTCCATCTCACGCGAAGCACAAGGCCCACCATCGATTCTTAACACATTGTATTGCTAGATCTAGTGTGCCTCGTAATATGGGCCCCAAAGCCAAGAGGATGGGCGAGGGTTAGCCTACGGTAGGGATGGGAGGGGGCGGGTGGGAACGCAATGCAGGCTGTGTGAAACTGGATTAACTCTGAATGGGTAGGTCTAGATCGAGACCCTCATTTTTTTCAATTTTCTTTTCTTCCCCTGATCAGAAAATTCAAGCTCCCGCCTTTACTTTATGTAGATATCTAGGCCTAGATGTGAGAGGGTATATTTCCACACGAGAAGTGTTCCGTAAAAAAAAAAAAAAAGCTAAAAATGCAGAAATGACGGTCGGAACACAATTCAAACACGCGCACACTGATGCTGTTTGAGATTTTCGTCATCAGGGGGAACAACTGTTGTTGTTACTGGTATTGGTACATCCTATAATATACACGTAATAACTTGTCTCCTTTCTTTACTTTAGCCTATGTCACGTTCAACGAGAGGTCGGATCCAACGAGGACAACAAGCCGGTCCCGGCAACCTCGTTGAATGCGACTATGCGACACCCACTGTAGCCTATTACACTGGTCGAATCTACCTCACAAATGTGAGGGGAACTAACTCCTAATAATCTCTTGACTGTTCATGCTGCGAGTGCTTTTTTTTCCCTCGACTTTTTACCGTCCTATAATCAGATCGTGACCTCGATTATGACACCGGCTCCTGGCTGCGAAAAGCCAGGCTAGACACAAACAGCCAAATGCCCCCCCCCCCCCCAAAAAAAAAGGATTGAAATTGTCATGTTCTACCAAAGAGTTTTTAGACTCACTGGTATTCCATGTAGAACTGACATCTCTGCTTCGCTGCTTTGTGTTTGTGTATTCACATCTAAAGTTAAATTTAATGTTAGTTGGAATAAATATTTAATGAGATACTTTCCCGATTATTTAGGTGGTTGAACATGCAATATGAATTAATTCAGAATTTGTTTTCATTCACCACCCAGTCAGTGTCGCCGCCTCGAGTAAGATTCTTGTGTGATATCTCCTTCTCCAGGCCCTATCTCACCCCGTTTCACTTTGATTACCCTGTCAAACAAGTCAGCCTTCGCCCCTGGGACTTGGCCAATAAATGTAGTGCGGAGTGAGTTAGGCCATTCATTCTTTTGTACGCATCCAAGCTTTCAGCACAGCAAACTTACCAACAACTCACTTTCTATTTGTACCACTTGTATAAAATAAAGGCCAGACTGAGTGGAATGAATGATCCCAGCAGTAAATATACGAGTACATTTAGATTGTTGAGACAGTAAACAACCGAGTGTTACATTGGACCCTCTGAACGAACTGGCTCACCGTATACTGAAGAGTTTTAAAAGGGAAAGTGCTACCAAAAAAAAAAAAAGACTATCGTAAACGGTGAATACCGCAAGCATGACCTGTTTTTGCCGTGTTCCTGTTTTGAGACAGCCATTTCCCAGAAATCTTAATTAAGTAGAAAGAAAGATTAGGAAGGAGCGATAATAAATTCTCGGCCTGTGAAATAAGTAGGCCCTATATTTGGGTAGGAAGAGGAAGCACACTTCTTTGTTCGCTCGGGTAATACATGTAATAATATGACATGCGACTAAACGTAGAAAGACGCAAACTATTTTTAGGTAAGGCGCCCATTTTGTTTGACTTAAGACCAGGATACCCCCCCCCCCCACCGACCACGTGACTACATCTAAGTATAGCCAACCAAATGGCACCAAAGATGGAAATTTGGGATATCATTATAGATTTTTGAGTTAAAACTACAAGGTTCGTTACGCGTTTTGCCGCACGCAAATTTTGACAAATTTAGAGCGCAGCGTGTTTCGGGCGGTTTATTCGAGCGGAATTTCCCATCGCTAATCGTTGTAGGTGGCCGTAGAATTCACGTGATTCTGTAGTAGAATTGGGCGCTGAAGAGTTTACAACCCACCCACCCGGAGTTTGCACAACGCCTGTGTAAAAAGTTATGGTAAGGGTAAAATAGGTATTTTATCTTCCAATTTTTTAAATCAACGATGGAAAATGCTTCCGGGG